GCCACATTCTCCCTCATATAATCCAGCTTCTTGGATTATTTGCTCATCGTACAGATTGAATTAAATATGGGAAAAGGATACAATCCTGGAGCACACCTTACCTGATTTTAAACCATTCAGTGTCACCTTGATCTTTTCAAACGACTGTGACTGCCTCTTAGTGTATGTATAGATTTCTCATAAGCACAATTAGGTATTTTGGAATACCCATTCTTCACAATATTACTCATAGCTTGTCATGATCCACACAGTTGAAAGCTTTTGCTTTCAATAAAGCCCAAGTAAACATCTTTATGGTATTCTCTGCTTTCTGCCAATATCCATCTGATGGCAGCAGTGATATTTATCATTCCATGCCCTCATCTGCATCCAGCTTGAACCACTGTCAATGTACTGTAGCAGCCGTTTTGAATTATCTTCAGCAATATTGTTCAATAATATTCAGATTCTGTTGGTCACCTTTCTATGAAATATGGATCCAATCAGTTGGCCAGGTAGCTGTCTTCCAAATTTCCTAGCATACACTAGTGAGTGCTTTCCACCCTGCATCATTTGTTGAAACATTTCAATTCCATCGGTACCTGGTGCCTTGTTTTTCACCAGTGTTCTCAGTGAAGCTTGCACTTCTTCCCTTCAGTAACTATGGTTCATGATTATATGTTACCTCTTGAAAGGACTGAACGTCGACCATTTATTTCTTTTTGGTACAGTGACTCTGTGTATTCATTCCATCTTCTTTTGATGCTTTCTGCATCATTTTGTTGTTTTTTGCCCATTTTGTTGTTGTTAAGTGCTGTTAAGTCAGTTCTGACCCATAGTGATCCTGTATAGAATTTTCAAAAGGGCAGCTAGTGAGCTTGAATTGCCGACCATGTGATTCAAACCAACTTTGTAGTCCAGTGCATTAACCTTCAGCGCCACACCAGGATTCCATTTTGCCCATTGTTGTTGTTGTTAAGTGCCATCGAGTTGGTTCCAACCCACAACGACCCTGTATAGGGTTTCCAAGGAGTAGCTGATGAGCTTGAACTGCCGACCTTGCAGTTCAAATGGCTTTACAGTCTGGCATATTAACCCACAGCGCCACATCAGGACTCCCATTTTTCTCATAGAATTCTTTAATATTGCAAGCCAAGACTTGTATTTTTTCCATTGTTTTAGTTTGAAAAATGCTAAGTGTTTTCTTCTCTTTTTGTTTTCTAAGTTCTGGTGTCTGCACTTTTCATGATAATTTGTCTTCTCAAATTGCCCTTTGACGATTTTCTGTTCAGCTTTTTCATCTCTTCATTTCTTCCATTTACTTTAGCCTCTCTACACTGTAGAGCAAGTTTTAGTCTTCTTCTGTCTTTCATTTTGGTCTTTTCTGTATTTCTTCTTAACAACTGTTTACTTTCCTATATGGTATTCTTGATGTCATCCCACAACTCTTCTGGTCTTTGGTCATTAGTGTTTAATGCATCAAATCTGTTCTCTCAATTCAGGTGGGATATGTTCAAGGCTCTGTTTTGGCTCCCGAGGAGATGTTTTAATTTTTTTCCGCTTCAACCTGAACTTGCATATGAGCAATTTAAGGTCTGTTCCACAGTCTGCCCCAGCCATGTTTGGGCTGATGACACTGAGCTCTTCCCACCAGTGTAGTCAGTTTAATTTCTGTGTATCCCATCTGGTGATCTCTATGTGCATAAAGTGCCTTCCTTGTATGATGTTAAAAAAAGGTATTTGCACTGATAAATCATTGGTCTTGCAAAATTCTATCATGCAATCTTCAGTATCATTTCTATCACCAAGTCCATATTTTCCAACTATTGATTCTCCATCTTTGTTCCTTCCTTTACATTCCAATCACCAGTAATTATCAATACATCTTGATTGCATATTTGATCAATTTCAGACTGAAGAAGTATCACAGACTATATTGCGCTTCATGGTACATCTTGCCGTGTTCTATTAGATGATGAATGTGACCCCTTCCCTATTGAATTTGTCATTCCCAGCATAGTAAAAAAACTATGATTGTCATATTCAGCATGGCCAATACCAGTCCATTTCAGCTCATTTATACCTAGGATATCAATCTTTATGTGTTTCTTTTCATTTTTGACAATTACCAATTTTCCTCGCGTCTTTCTTTGTACATTGTATGTTCTGATTATTAACTCACGCTTACAGCTATTTCTCTTCATTTTCAGTTGTGCCTCATCATCATATGAAGGTTCCAAAAGCTGTACTCCATTTGCATCATCATGGGCAGCTCTACTTTTAGGCAGTTCTTTCTCAGTTGTTTTTAAATGCCAACTTGAGGAGCTTATTTTCCCGTACTATATCCTATGGTGTTGTAAGATTAGCACTGGACTACTAACCACTAGATTGGCAGTTCAAACTCACTAGCTGCTCCTTTGAAGCCCTCTGTTGTTAAGTACTATCAGGTAGGTTCCAACTTAGAGCGACCCTGTGTGGGGTTTCTGAGGAGCAGCTGGTAGTTTTGAACCGCCATCCTTATGGTTCAAATTGATCTTGAGTCCAGTGCATTATCCTGAAGCATCACACCAGGACTCCTTGAAACCCTATACATTCTGCTGTTTGTCTGAACTGACTCAGCACTTGACAGCAACTTATCTGACAATGTTCTGTATTCATAAGATTTTCAGTAGTTAACCATTCAGTTTTGGCACTGTAGGATCAGCACTGGACTGCAGACCACAAGGTGGGCAGTTCAAACCCTATAGCTGCTTGTCAGAAACCCTGTACAGGGTTGCTGTGTGTCAGAACTGACTCAATGGCACTTAACAACAACAGCTATTCAGAAGTGGTCTACCACTCCTTCTTCCTAGTCTGTCTTAGTCTGGAAGCTCTGCTTAAACCTGTCCACCATGGGTAACCCTGCTGTTTAAAATACCGGTGGCATAGCTTCCAGCATCACAGCAACATGCAAGCCACCACAGTATGACAACCTGATAGACAAGTGGTGATTTCAGCTCACTAATGCCTAGGATATCTTTCTTTATGCGTTCCATTTCACTATTAACAACTTGTAATTTTTCTAGATTCATACTTTGTACTTTTCATGTTCCAACTATTAATGGATGGTTACATCTGTTTCTCCTCATTTTGTGTTGTGCCCCATCAGCAAATGAACGTCTCAAAAGCTTAATTCCCTTCACATCATTATGGTTAACTCTATTTGAGGAGACAGCTCTTCCTCAGTCACTTTTTGAGTGCATTCCAACCTGAAGGGCTAATCTTCCAGCACTATATCTGACAATATTCTGCTGCTATTCATAATGCTTTCATTTTCATTCCCATGTTATGGTGAAATATTAAAAAAAAAAATCTGATGAAGGACTTAAACTATATAAATACAATTCTTGTATCTTAAAACAATTACATTTAAAAACCAAATGTTTGAAGAGACACTTTACCAAAGAAGATATATAGGCACATGAAACTAAATACCATTAGTTATTATTTGTGCCATAGAGTTGGTTCTGACCCATAGTGATGTTGTATAGGGTTTCCGAGGAGCAGCTGGTGAGCTTGAAATTGCAATTTTAAGGTTCAAACCAATTTTGCCGTCTAGTGCACTAACCCATAGCGCCACACCAGGACTCACCATTAGTCCTTAAAGAAATATAAATTAAATCCGCAATGAGATACAACTATAATGGTAAAATCAGATACCAAGTTATTGTTGTGAAGTGCTGTCGAGTCAATAACGACCCTGTACAGGGTTTGCGAGGAGTGGCTGGTGAGCTTGAACCGCCAACTTGCAGTTCAAATGACTTTGCAGCCTGGCGCATTAACCCACAGAGCCACACCTGGACTCTAGATGCCAAGTGTAGAATGGCTTAAATTAGATACCAGTTGTTGACAAGAATTATAAGCAATTGGAACTCTCACCTGAGGAGGCTTCAAAAACATATGGAAAATTAGAGTTGAAAGGTAATGTAATTTTTCTGTGAACTTTTTGAAAGTCCCTTGTATATTGTTCATGGTAATGCATAATGGTACAGTTATTTTGGGAAACAGTTTGATAGTTTCTTAAAAGTTAAGTATAGAGTTACCATATGACTCAGAAATCCCACTCGTAAGTATTTGAGAAAGCATATGCCCACAAAAAAAATACATGAAATGATCGCAAAAGCTCTATTTATAATATCCCAAACTAGAAAGTACTCAATGTTCATAAACTGGTCAGTGACTATACAAATTAGGGTATACTCATATTCATAATGTGGAATGTTCCTCAGAAAACTACTGATACAAGTAACAAAATAGATAAAATTTTAAAATGTTGTGCTATGTGGAAGAAGCCAGACAAAAAATTATTGATTCAACTTACATGAAAAGGCAAGAATTCTTGTTAGTTGCTCTTTCTCATGGTGACCTTAAGGATAACAGAATGAAATACTGCTGGGTCCTATGCCATTGTTGCAGTTCTTGTGTCAGTCCATCTCCTTGAGGGTTAACCTTATTTTCATTGGTCCTCTGTTTTACCAAACAAGATGTTTTTTTCTAGCAAAATGATAGTGATAGAAAGCAGGTCAGTGGTTGCCAGGGAGCAGCAGAATGGTAGCAGAAGGAATTGATTGTAGTGACAGAAATGTCCTGTGTCATGATTGTGGTTGGTGGTGGTCACTTAACTATATGTTTGTTTATCAAAATTAATTGATCTAACTGTACACAAAATTGACTCCTTTCCCCAGACTCCTGTAAAACAAAATCATAAAATGTAACTTATGTGAAAGGGTATTAGATGGTGAAGCATAGAAACCAAAATTGAGCGTTTCTCCCAGTTCAGACAGACTAAGCCCAGTTAACATGTATTTGTCTCTGAATGGTTCATCTGACTATTTCTATTCTTTCTTCAATTCAAGGAAATGTAAAGGAAGCTAGCTTATAGAAAGCTATGAAATACCAACCTTTTCTTCCCACTGTGTGGGGAGTGTTGAAGATATATAGATATCAGCTGAACAGTTCTTTTTCATTTGTTAACTTGGCAGGAGTGTGAAACCAAGATTGCACAGGAAATAGCCAGTCTTTCAAAAGAAGATGTTTCCAAAGAAGAAATGAATGAAAATGAAGAAGTTATAAATATTCTCCTTGCCCAGGTAATCTCCTTTTCTCTCTTTTGCAAGAATATTAATGTTCAGTTTTGAATTATAATTTGGGAAGTTTAACTACAGAGGTGTAAAATGATTATAACCAAAGTTGTAAGATGATTTAGGTTTAAGGGACTGCGCCTGTTGTAGAGGGGTCCTGGTGGCACATGGTTAAGATAATGGTTGCTAACTCTATGACTAAGGAGCTCTGATAGCTTAGTGGTTACGAATCGGGCTGCGAACTTTAAGGCCAGCAGTTCAAAACTACCAGCCGCTCCGCGGGAGAAAGATGAGGCGTTCTGCTCCCGTAAAGATTTACAGCCTCAGAAACCCTGTACAGGGTCGCTATGGGTTGGAACCGACTCGACGGCACTTAACAACAACAAAAACAACTCTAAGACTCGCTGCTACACCGAAGAAGCATGGCTGTTTGCTTCCATGACGATTTACAGTCTTGGAAACCATAAGGGGTAGTTCTTCCCTGTGTTATAGTATTGCTATGGGTTGGAGTCAACTTGACGGCAATGAATTATTTTTTGTTGTCAGTGGTGGTGCCTTTTATATTTGGTCCTCTCTATGCAGTGTTTTAAAACGTTAGGCTAATGCAGAAGAACTATATTATGATGAGTGATTACTCCTTATTTGATAGTTTCTTCCCTATTTGTCTAACGTTTTAAAAACACAGCATAAAGGAAGAACCAAATACAACATACACCACCAACAACAACAAAAGACTGCATTGCTTTGGAGTCTTGGTGTGTGGCGTTTTAGGATAAGCATTTGATTGTCCATGGTTCTCACCCACCAGCTGCTCCTTGCAAACCCTCACTGTGAGTTGGAACCACTTAACTGCAGCTTATTTGACACCATTCTATATGTTTTGCTTAATCTCATGTAGTCAACAAACAGGTTTGAGTTACAGGTATTTTGCCTCATTTACAGATGAATGGTATTTGTTCCACAGTAATGAGATCAGATTTTTGTAAATATTTGAAACAGTTTGTTCCTAATCCCACACAGTTTAGGATACCAAAATGTAATGATATAAGATCTGAATGGATAGTTGTTGCTAAGGTGTTAACCTTTAAGATATTTTGATTTTATTCTTTGTAGGTGGAAGTCAGTTGTTAGAGGTGCAGTGTCTTTATTATTCACTCAATTCACAATAAAAAGTAAAAAAAAGTGAAAAGCCTATAAATTTTAA